ATTCGTATACAACCCTCGGAATAACGAATTTAATACGTGCTTACAATAAGTGAAAATAAAGGAATGTAAGAAATGAAAGTTCGTTCAGGTAACCATTGAAAATGATTCGATCATCTTTGATGTCTATCGTTAATCGTGATTGCATGCTCGGTTCTCCTTCGTGTCGCGTATCAAACGATCCTCGATGGTTCACGTGTTATCAGTAGCAGGCTATCGAATTAGAGAAGAGGAGAGGAACGGCGCAATTAATCGGCAATTGCGTTCGATCACTTCCATTCAGGAAGCTCTTGCGTCGACACGACGGATACGTTGTGGAACAGTTCACTTTATAATGCTTCTTCTTCGACTGTGTTCGTAAGACTTCGTCGGCAACGTTACAGTTCACGGAATCTCGTAAAACGTTGCCGGACGAGAGAAAGAAATAAACATTGAGATTCCGATAATAATATCATTCATAGAACTGTGTATCGGAGACGAAAAACCTTCTGATTGTAAGGGGATGCAATGAACAAAAATGATACGCAAAGAAGTACAGATCAAGGCAGGTGAGACAGCTATGCTATGGTATAGCATTAAATGAAAAAAGAAAAACGAAAAACACCGAACAGCCATGAAATGAAAAACATTGCAGTAATGGACACGTATATACAGGACGGCCCGATAGAGAAACAGGAATGATTCAATTTCCTTTTGTCAAATAATTTCAACGAAATTCGCGACTGAACAGGGAGAATGGTGCTGGAAATTACTCTGATTTATTCGATCGTTAATTATCGATTTCAGAAGCGATAACGATCCTGGAATTGATCCAAAAATGATCAACTGTAAGCTTCTTTTTAATTGTAATTTGTATCAGATAGAAATTTAGAAATCACAAATTGCTCGTTTCAAATTCTCTAAAAATATACAGCTATTAATTTCGCGGGAATGCGATGTATTATAGGGTATTGCGTGAATTTCGTTTAAATTATTTACTTCCGGTTAGGTAGCTGACAATCGAGCTGATCCTCGACACATCGGGACCATTGTGTACATCGATGTATGTGTACATACACGTTGTGTTACGCGTATCGCGTGGTTTACAGTATTTCGAGAACATCTATTCAACCGAACATCTAGAAAAACACCAGTTAAAAAGAGAAAGAAAGAGAGAGAGAGTTATATAGAAAGAGTTAGGTGTAGAAGAAGAGAAAGAGAGACAGCCATCTCACCGCCCGCCACAGCTCAAAGCACTCACGAAATTCTCACGGGGGTGCACGACTAAAGGGGCCACCGTTGTCTATTTTTTCGTGGCGAATATCTGACTCTCTACTCGAGGGATACGTTACGGGTTCCGTATATTTTATAACCTAGAAAAGCGATCGCACTGCTCTCGTATGTACGATGCGATGTACCCCGGACCGGTGAACGCCGTGGTGCCACCTGACAGACTCCGGGAAATTTGAGAAAACAGGATTTCCTTCGGCCCATGCGCGAGAACTTTAATCGAATTTTGGCGTTGCAGTGCCGACAACGAACCACTTCCGCCTCAATGCACACGACGGCCCTGCATTTGGAATTCAAAATCCCCCCCCGCAATATTGTATCGCATCGAAGATAGACGAAACGCATATTCTTTCGTCAAGTAAACGCAATTAGATTTCCTCTGTATCATTAATAATTATATTTGATAAAGTACGAATGATATGATAAAGCTTTTGTTTTAAAAAACAAATTCGCTTGGGCGGGATGCTTAATGCGCATGTGATAAATGGCGGCGTCTCCGCTCTAGCGGTGAATACGAAATTTTCGCCTTCCGCGAAATACGTCGCTTAATTGTTACTTTCAGCTTAATGACACTGTATTTAATGAGCAAGAACATCTAGTAAAGTCACTCACCCTCTCGTTATGTTCAACTCATCCTTTTCTGGCAGAAAAACTTGAATATATTAACACCACACGGACCACTGAACTACAGGCGGGGGGTGACGCCATAACTGATTGAAGGCTCCGCGCTACAGCGAAGTCTGATGCGTCACCTAGCGACGAATATCGGAACTAAATATTACTGCTTTCTTGATACATGTTCGCTTGTATAAATTTTCTGTAAAAGAAAAATATTATGCACGTTATATTGCAATGTTATAATCTCTAATTAATTATAATATTGCATGACATTTCATGAATCTCAATTATGACTGAAATATACATTATTACTATACGTTTTACTATAATATGTCGTAATAAATAAAATAATAAGTTTCATAGTTACTCTAAAACAAAAGCAAAGAAAGAAATATGTTATTTAAATAATAAGTCACTTACTTTTTTAAAATGATTTATAGACGAGGTATGGTAAAAGAGGGACTGGTAAAACAGACCCGTATGTCATACCGACTATGCTTTTTACACGCAGACCTAACTTCATATGGGGATATCTTGGACCCCAAAATCATGACCCTTCGTAGAGAATGATATGTTCAGTCTTTTTATATTTATAGTCACTATATATATATAGCAGCAACAACGGTCTGCTATTTCTATCATTAATCTGTGATAAAGAAAAGGCTCATCTCTATTAAAAGAATAATTATTTAAGAAACCTTAAATTATTTTCAAATAGTAAAACTACGTTTGACAGAAATCTTGAGCTTTGAAGAATTCGATTGTACATCTGTTTCGTAAAGTGACATTCGGTGATATGAACAATTAAATCGTGTTAATTAGTAATAAGTTCGATTAAACAGAAGTAATAATAAAGCGAGTCGATCTTGATGTTCTGCTGGACTGACAATCATGACACGACTAAGAGGCAGAGCCTCTTTAATGGTCATCATAATGATCAGTTTTACTCTGTTGATTGTGATTTATCACATTCTCAGTAACGAGGTCGAGGACATCGCATCCAGTAAATTAAATCCAAGATTAAAGATCGAAGAAGTTTACCCATTGAGTGATCTCACAGAAAACCCCCGTAATATTGCCAGAAAACAACGAATAGAGGCTCACATAATGGGTAAATTGAAAAGCGGTGGAGGACAATTATTTAGTGACTTCAATTATGCTAGATCAGATGCAGAAAATATACCCTTGTTCAAAGGTCACAAAATTGTACATTTGGATTTAAAGGGTGCTCCTCCTAAAACAAGTTATTACAAGTACTTGTTCAGATTGCTCAAGAGATTAGGTGCCACTGGTATACTTATAGAATATGAGGACATGTTCCCTTTTGATGGTAAGATACAAGATATCAGTGCAGGTAATTGTTACACCAGGAGAGATATTGCAAATATTCAAGAGATAGCCAAGGAAAACAAACTCCTGGTTATACCATTGATTCAAACCTTTGGTCACATGGAATTTGTTCTGAAATTAGAGAAATATAAAGATTACAGAGAAGTGCCACATTATCCACAAGCTTTATGTCCTACTTACAACAAGACCTTACCATTACTTTATGAAATGATAGATCAAGTAGTAGCTGCTCATCCTGATATAAAGCATTTGCATATAGGAGCTGATGAGGTATATCAGATAGGAGAATGTACCAGATGTTTGGATATAATGGTTAAGAGGCAATGGGGCAAGAAGCAATTGTTCTTGGATCATGTTTCAAAAGTAGTAAGATACATTAAAGACAAATACCCAGAGCTGAGCATTCTCATGTGGGATGATGAGTTCAGAGAAATTTTACCTCAGGAGATCATAGACAGAGGCTTGCATTTAATGGTGGAGCCAGTTGTTTGGAAATATACCACTGATCCTGCAACATCATTAACTGATCAGCTGTGGGAGAGCTATGCATCAGTTTGGAAAGATATTTGGGTTGCTACAGCTTTCAAAGGTGCCACTGCACCTGATAGATATTACACAGATATCGCATACCACATGGAAAACCATCAACGTTGGTTGGAGATTATTAATAAATACTCCACTCAAACTACATTCAAAGGCGTTATTTTGACGGGATGGCAAAGATACGATCATTTCAGCGTACTTTGCGAACTCTTACCCTCTGCTATACCCTCTCTTGCTGTAAATTTAGCCATTCTTCAAGCTCCAGATTTAAGCGGATTTCCAGTAGAAGTACCTACCGCTGTATTACAAGCACTACAATGCGAGGGCATGATTTCGTTAAGTATCCCAGAACCACAGTATGGGTGGACTAAATGTAGCTATCATGGTATATCAGTTTATGCCACAATTTTACGTCTTTTCGCCTTGACCCAAGAAGTTAATAAAATGGAGCAGGACAATACCTTCAAGGGATGGTTGAAACCATACAATCTGAAGTATTCGTTTTCAAGTCCTAGCCACGTGGAACGAGCAGTTGCTGATCTGGACAGACATAAAATGGAAATAATGTATATTGAGAAAGAGATGCGATCGGCTTTGGAAGAGATATACGATAATTACACGGTACAAGAATGGGTAGAGACATACATTACTCCAATGAATGAGAAATTTGTACAATTGTGGGAAGCTAAAGAGAAAATTTTAGAAAAGAACGTGTGGCCAAGAAGACCGCTAACAAAATCAGAATTATAGTAAAATGAATATTAAAATTGAAAAATGAAGTTAGCTTCCATACTGCGTAATGAGAGACTGAAGACCACATTAGGGTAAAGAAAAACGACGTACTAATTGAAATATTTAGAATCCTTGTTTTTTAAAAGGACGAGTAATCGATCATCGATCGATACTATATGAAATCTAGCAAAATTATAATTTTGCACCTCGTATCTTGGTCTCAGTTCAAACGACTGCACCGTCCGTGGATTTAGTCTGGTTTATTCTTTTAAGAATCAGGCTCAAAGTCTTTAGTAAACCGTGCACTTAAAAAAGGCGACTTTAATACAGTTTTTCAATTAGCATTTCCAAAATATGAATTTAAACTTCAAGCTTGTATATACAAACATATAGAAACGAGATCAATTATCTGAGAGTACGAAGTGCTAATTTTAAAATTGATCTTAAAATTGATAAATTGTAGCGTCGTTTGGAAACATTGTATACTCTTCTTTATTAATACCCCTTTTTCGTATAATTTCTGATTAAGACGACTAACTTACTTGCTAATTTATTAACAATTTTTTACCCTTTTCGAAGGCTTCCAATTCGTCTTTTATTCGAAGCTGATTGTTCCAAGAATGCGCACACATTGCGATCCTACCTGTTTTTTTACCTGTTACATGACGTATTCCCTCGTTAATTGCGTTTTATTTTATACGTACGTTCAATGTGTATTGATTGCATGAATAGTGCCATTAATTAGATTTAATGAAAACCAGTGTTACAAATAATTTTTATTCTATCGTGTTCAAAACACGAATAAATATATATGTTTGTTGTTATAGTCTACTTAATTTTATGATTAATTAATTAAAAAGAAGAACCAGTTATAATACTCGGTTCGCTTTGTGATTACTTCACGGATAATCTTTTTAAGAGCACTTATAAAAATCATCTCAAGCCTCTAATACCGAGTTCATGGCATGTACTCAATCTACAATGTATGTAAATTACTGAATGTATAATATTACCTATTATTGTAAAAGTATTTTTAACATTGTTACATCGACCCATATTAACACGATCACACGCAATTAGTAAGATTCTATCGATAAATAAATTTCTTTTTAAATCTATCCCTGAAGACACCAGTGGTTTATTATTGCATTGGCCCCTCTAAATATACAAGATACCCTATGTAAGAAAATAAGTCGAAAATATGTAATAAAATTTCGAGTTATTTTCTTATTAAAAATTATTTAATCACTGCAATACACACACCGCCGATTTTGAACCGGGAAAATGAGGATAAAAGGGAATGTGATTCTGCTTTTTCACGGGAATTCTCTTTACAACTTTGTGAACCGTGTTTATGTCGACCGTGTCACCTATTTCCGCGATAATTATGGGTTTGTGGTACTCTTTATCCGTTTTCGTTAAATGAACCCCTAATACTTGCGCTGCTAGAGTCACTATGCACAAAGACACCTGCAATTAGAATGATCCGTCAAAATTAGTGAGTTTAATTAACAATTAGTCCTTTACTTACAGCCTCGCCAGTCCTTGCGGATACGTCGTGAGATGGAAATCCATTTTCCGCCGCGAATTTATGTGTTCGATCCTTCTTCACCGATCGCTGATGCTCGATATCGCATTTATTTCCAACCACAGCCATCAAAGGATTTTCTTCGTAATCACTGTTTAGTTTTCTGATTTTGTTTATCCATTCTTGTAGAATTTCGAAGCTAAAACTATTTGTAACGTCGTAGACTAACAGGATTATCTAGAAAAAAAGACGTTAATGATGAAAGGTTGAAAATATCTTCTGACAATTTTGCTCTTCTTTCTTACATGAGCACCATAAACGTATTTGTCCAACATGCTTCCATGAAGAGCAAGTCCACCCACGTCCCACAAATGGAGATTTACATTCTTATAGTAACCGACACTGACGTTCTTCAGGAAGAAATCAATTCCAGACGTTGGCGTATATTGTCTGGTGAACTCGTTGTTGCAAAACTTCTGAGCGATGCTCGTCTAAACAGGGATCCTTGAACTTCAGTTCTATATAGAATCGTCTACTCGATCAGTATAGAAACTATAATGATTTTAGTTAAAAGTTCATTCAATTCAAAGAATATTAGCAAAGATGATGGAAATCCTACATCGATGAAAACTCGCGTGTTATGTCAGTTCGCTGATTAGTAGTGCAACCCTAATTTCCTCGAGAACCTGTTGTGTTTTTAATTAGAGAGCACAAGACCTGTGATTGAAGAAAGAACTTATAGACAGCTATAAAATGACTCGAGTCACGAATAAACAATTTTGCGAAAATAAAATCTAAAGACTTAATTATACTAACTCACCCTTAATGCTAGAAAGCTAAAATCAAATTTAGAAACTTAGAAATATTTTAGTGGAAGATCGATGCTAGAATTGAATAATTTAGACAATAAATCAATATGATTCCTTATTTAAAAAAAAAAAATATCCAGGTCACATCGACACTCACTTTTCCACTTCCGGAATCACCGACGAGGACGATCTTCAGCCTCTTCGTGATCAATTCCTCTTCAGCTTCAGACATGGAGGAAGATCTTTATGGAAGATATAAAATATAAACCCAAAGATAGAAAAGTAACAGGAAATCATACGAAAAAGTTGTGAATGTAACGACGGTTGTTCGTCGACTATAATGTAACATATAAAGGGTCTGGCATGTGGCTAGAGAGAATGAAATCGAGCGAATCGACCGACCACCAGCTGTGGCCAGTGCGACGTCGTCGTCGTCGGCTGCATGAATAAATTAGCGAATAATCGATAAAACTACAAACGCCACTGTGCGTGCCACTACCTTGTCGATATTGCGCCTGAAAGACGTTTCCACCCCCGCGATGGAGTTGAATTCCCTCCATTGAACACTTCGTACCGCGTAAAATAACAATTTTACAAGAAAAAAATTTGTTAATTACAGAAAATTTTGACTTATTAATCAAAAGGTAATAACACAATTAAGGAGGAAAACGTTTAGCATCAACCAAGGTAAAGTGACTTCAATGACTTCCTCAGCTCTCGTACAAATAACAGGATTGCTATTTGTCGTAGACATTCGAGATTTAATCAATTTTTACAGCTTACAATTAAATTTATCTATATACATGATCGAAAGTAGCGTAAAAAAATATGTATCCGACATTTTGCACGGTCTTTCTTACAGTAATACGTGGAATAAATACTTGAGTCGATTCCTTTGGTCAATAGCAGTCATGATCCACTATCTGGAACATAGATTAATTATTAAACAATTGATCTCCTGAAATTTGATTGATCTTCCTCATTTTCCGTCTTACTTGTTTGGTATCATTGGTCGCCTCGGTGACTCGTCGATCCTATGGAACAAAACTTACGCATAAATCCCTCTCGTTTATAAATGTATAGTTATAGAAAGTATTAATTAAAAATTAGATCCTTATAATTGGCTAAGAGGTAGTAATTCGACACGCGGCAACACGTCGTCGTTCGAACGACCGTCAGCCTGTCGGCACGCTCGAAGTTCGCTTTGACTATTTCATAATATCTTCCATCGCTGAAACGTATCAATTTTTATAAGCATAAATCATGTGGATCTGTTTTGTATTCTCTGCCTACCTCAAACTTAGACAACGTAATTTAATACACTTCACGCGAAGTATGTCTATGGCCTTCTGACTCTTGTCGGAGAACCTCAGGTTCTCCGGGTCCCAACGCAGCTCCAGACGTTCTAAATTCGGGCAATTATTCGCAATTCCATCCATCAATTGATCCACGTGAATATTCACGCCCAATCTCTCATGCGTTCCCATTACCAGAATTCTAAAAGGCATGGATTTCGAAAAATTGAAAAGGAAGATTGTAACACCCTATGTACATCATGATTCGTTCAAAAATATATCTCACTTGGCGTTTGTTAATATTGGTAACACGCTCTGCCATAATTGATCGGTAATGTGAGGCATGCCGGACAAAGCTAGCCCCCACAGTTGGTGACCGTATCTGGACAAAAATTTATGTAGACCATCGTCGTTCAGATTGTCGGAACTGTCCAAGTCCAAGGCAATCAGGTTCCGTGGATTGCCAAGTTCAGCCCATGCTTTCAACACGCTGTCGTTGAAGCCGTTCAACTGGCCTGCACTCAGGAAACGGAGACCTGGAATTCTGGTCAACATATCGATCAGACATTCCGTCGACAAATCTGTCCCGGTCACGTCCAGCTCCTGGACACTAGACTTCTCCCATTCCACCTGCATTACGTATTCACTTTGAAGATCTGCAAGAAATTCGTGAACTCCTTGATAGCTCGAAAAATCAAGGCGCTAGTTGAAAAGAATGATAAGTACTTGTTCCTTGCATCAGGAGACACTTTAATCTTCTGCTCCTCTGGAAGAGGGTCTTCATGGTCGAGCCAGTGACTTTGGCGCAGAAATTCACAGCCAGACATTCGAGCTGGATGCAGTTCGAAGAGAATGCATCAATATGTGAATCATCTACGAAATTGATACCATACAGATTGATCACCCTTAAATTTGGGGTGGCTGATTTAAGTTTGTGAACGTTTATCACTTCGTAGATTTCTTCTTCCTCTTCTTCCACCTTCTCGTATGTCCCTGGATTAGTTATTCGATTAATAATTGGGTCATGAAAAATTAATATCGCGGGAATCAAATACGAACCTATCAGATGGAGAATTTCTAAACCATTAATGAAGTTATAAATCTTCCTCATGAAACCCTCCATGAAGATTACCTCCGACAGACAGATACACATGTACTTCAGTTTCGTAGGAAACGCCTGCATTTCCGAGAAATCGTGCAGCTGCATCGCAGTGGAGAAGTCGAGGAGCATGTGGGTCAGGTTTGGACACTTGTTCGCCAGCTCATGGAGCACCGTGTGGGTGATCAGTTCGATGGGTAATTCAATGTACCTCAAGGAAGCTCCAAAACGTGTGCTAGTGTATAATGAAAATTTTTTGAATAATATCCTACGATAGTATTTTGGCAAATGGTAGGGCATATTTCGGTAACGAGATATTCTGCCAACATTCTTTACATTATCTTTTTCTACCTGATCAAATGCAGTAGATTGTCCAAGGAATTCACGTGTAATCCACTGATTTCCGGTCTCAGGGATACGTGTTTCCATAAGCGTGTGTCGTAAGCGATTTGCCGCCACCTTTTGCACACACGTGCCACCCTGCATATCTCGCGATGAGAGAGGTAGCTGAAGACGTTCAGAAGCACCTTGTCTGGCAATTTTTCTATAGTCTGAAAGGACAGAGTGTTCGAAAAGTTAATACGATAGATATTTACCCCTTTCGTTAAAGGGGTGGTTTTTACCCCAATTCGATACAAAAAAGATGTAGTGATTTTGCAATTATTGTTCGACAGACACCTTGAAGATTTTCAATTGCTTTACTTTTCGAATAGAATGATTCACTTACTGTCCCTGCAAAACGACTTTTAATGACACCGCCTTCGGAAACGAACATCTGAGACGTTTCCACGGCGATTTGACCCCAGACATCGACGCCTCCGAGATCCATTTTGTAATTTTCTCAAAATCAGCTCGGTTACACTAATAATTTTATTACAAAGACTCTTATCACTGATCGTACTTCATCAAATGATCCACGGAACAACGATCTATCGATCGAACTCTGGATTCGACGTGGCGCGGGTGAATTGAAATTCGCGTTCGAGGAAACACTAGCAGAAAAGGGTAATAATAATTGCTGGTGCGTGTGTTTCGCGAAAATCGCGTCGAACGTCGGAATTTGAGGAACCAGAAATTCTAAGTCTTCACGGGATTTCTAATCGGATCACGCATGCGCGTCGTCCTAAATATAAGACTTGGAAGACCCGTCTGTGCTTTAATTTTAAACTCGTCACCCGCAGCCAAGGTGCATTTCCTTGTGTTTCCCCCGTGAAACGTCAAATCCGGGTTGAAGTTTATAAAATATTCAAAACTTTCGTCCGCTACCGTTTCAACGATTCATCTCTTTTCTTTCCACAAAAATTTTTCTACTCAATTAATTTAGAAATTACTGAAAAATACCATAAACAAAACCCTCTGTAAAACTTCTATTGTATCTCCCTTATTTTGAGATATACCCACTTTGTAGTAGACAATTCTGGTCACCCTTGGTAGCTAAAGGGTTAATGAGATTTTGCAAGCGTCGAGCAATTAATTGTAGAATTTTTAGTGTTCCATAAGTCTTAGGTTTTCTAAAAATCTGCCAAAATGTTCAAGTTGATTTAAGACTTGGAACTTATCCGACACGAGACCGTAGATGAGGTGCACTAATGCACGTGGTACTTGCGTGGAGATACATGCAGCAGAACAAAAGACTTTTTTTAAATAAATACAAGTTTTCCTGGTGAAACACTTGTGTATATTGTTTAGTTATCACCTGTTCGAGATATCAAATGGTTCGATCTCATAGCAAGATGAGTAACATTGTTTAATCACATAAAATAATTGAGTTTATACTTCTTGATTCCAAGAGTTGGTTTTATCGTAGGAAAAGATTAAAAGTGTTTTGATAAGAGGTGTCATATGTTATGGAGATCGATAACATCTCCATTTGGAGGGTTTTCCTCATTCCATACAGTTGCAACAGTATTATGCAATATTGCAAATGCGATTACGTTCGATTACCATGATTAATGAATTTCAATGAGGCGTCTGTTGTGCAATAATCGCAAATCAAATGAAAGTCGACAAATATTAAAGACATATAGGGAATGTGGATCTTTTGTTACTTATCTCCTTATTTTAATTAAAATATTACCGCTTTCGACACAATTTTTTTGCGATAGACACTAGCACCCAGATCCTCCCTGGATATAGCGCTGGTCGCATGTTCCACGTTCAGTTGATGCCAGGTACTCATTATAAAAACTTAGTCTCAAACTTAACAATTAATCCAGAAAGATTCACTTCAAACACCAAAAATTATTCAAGTCAATCTGGGAGCCATTTCAGAGAAGCACGAAACGAAGTAAGAAGAGAGCAATTTGTTAGAAGTCTGCCGATTGACTCGATCATACTACACTTCGAACTGCATCTAGCTTAATTAGTTATAAATAAAGACAAGCAGTCAGTCAGTCAGGCAAGCAGACGAGACAAGAATAGGTAGACCCCATCGGTAAATTCTAGCAACGTGATCTAGGAAAGAATTCTATCTTTTACACACTGCTGTATTGAAATTTTGCAACCATTTTATAACTAGAATCTTTGTAAATAAAAGCTGTGACGTTTGTTCAAATGAAAGATTAATAATAAGTAAAATTTCTCAGTAGATCCTAACAGGGTGTTCTAGGAACTGAACTATCTAGGAATTTTGCAACTATCTTAACAAGCCATGATAATCTTTCGAGGGAAAAATTAATAATAGATGGTCTTGGTTTCTTCCAAATGTAACTGTCTCGAAATTTTGCAATAATTCTAATTAGAAATCAAAGATTGCTTGTTGCAACAGTTTCTTATAAACCTTGCAACGAAGGAAGAAATATTATTATCTATGATTTACCGTATTCGGACGTCTTATGATCTCTGTATTATCATCCTCGAAAGTGTTCAGTTGTTGAAGAGCTGCTTCCACGCTCAGGACGTTCCAATTGGACATTCTTCGCATGTCCATGATGAAGATTTAATCGTAGATCGGGAATGGATTCAAACATCAGTGAATTAAAACTTGAACTTTCTTTGAAAGCTGTTTAACACTCGGACGTTACACGATTTGTTCAACCAAAATGTTATTAGGCACTCTTGCGATATCATTGATACTTAGTCGAATATGCAAATGACAGATTGTTGCACGAATAAACGTCACAAGCACCAGGAAAAGAAAGACACGACGTAACACAGAAATCTAGATTGCATACGTTCTTCGTTCTCATTTCCTTTCAAAATTTTCTCTGGCAAAAATTAGGAACGTGAAATAATTTTTACGAATTAATCTTTCAGTTATGTAACTGGTTTGCATAATCAATTTTTTCCTTTTTTCTTTTTTTTTTTTAGTTAATGATTGAGAACGTATGCAATTGATGATGGTGAAAAAAATTAACCTACTCGACCATCGTGATGTTCTTGTGCTAAGCACCTTACGTTCTGGGTCGGAGGTGAAAAATGTAACTAAAATAATCTTAACTTTCTGTCGTTCCCTAAAATAGAATCGCTGGAGTGCTCTGCTACGCAAGGATGCACAGCCAACAGAGAGCCGTCACGTTACATTTGCGGGACTTTTCGAAAACACAATAAGAAAAAATACGTACATTCTCATTTCTAATTGCTTCCTTACATCCTAATTAACATCGACGATAATTAAATTGTCAGAAGGTTGAGCAACATTTAACTCTGTGCTAACTCAAACCTACATAAATTTTACTACACCACTTGATGTTTTACTTGGGCAATAAATTCAAATTATTAACAATATGTATTCAATAATTAATACTATTTTTCATATTGTGAACGAGATTTTCTTAAAATTAATTAATTACGAAAGAAGACAATGAAAATGAATGATGATACGTTCTTTAAAAGATTCTTTCATTCAAATAAGAAGAATTAAAGATTTATGAATGAAACGAAATATGAATTTGTGTAATTTCGACTTTCTATGTCTACTGTAAAAGTTCTGGGAATGATAAACGTCGAGTAACCGTGACAGTTGTAGAATATCCTTTTGATTGCAGGCCAAATAGGTACCATTTGGCTCGGCGCCATTAGCAATTTGATTAATTAAGGCCACGTATAACACAGGTGCAACGATGATGACCTACAGAATCTTGTATGATGTAAATTTTCTGCATACGGTTTGTTTATAATTGCATAATTAACTTGTTAAACATTTGTACTTGTTGAAGCGCATATTTTAAAAATGATACCCCTGGCGCTATCTAGAAGTGAACATCGAAATCAATGTTCTTTCGATCAGAATCGCTAGATGACGCTAAAGGTATTGTTTAAATTTAATAAATGTATAAAATATGACTTATGCGATGATTTCAGCTTCAAAATTAATCATTTCTCTGTAATATAGAGAAAGACTTTACAAAATACGATTGAAAGAGTACGTCATTCTTCAAATTTTAGTTTATACATAGAAAAGATAATTCATGGAATATCATGTGTCTATTTTACTTGGAATTGCATTATCTCATATAATTATCTCCGTAATTTTAATCCTTTAAAAATTAACTGCTGCTACGACGTTTTTGTTATCACCAAGATACATGAGGAGATATGCAATACACAGAAGTGTTGCGATAAAAATGCTAAATATCTCTGCAGATGAATCAAGTATTTCATTGGAAATAATTACATTATAAAATTGAATTGATTTAATCTAGCTGAGGAGAAAAATACACAGGAAAAAGCATTAAAAATTGAATTCATTTAAAAATGTTACAGTAGCGCCTCTATTGTTTCAGTACTCGGTAACGATTGAGTTAAAATTTCATTCTACGTATAGGTTATTTGTTTGTTTCTTCAATATCGATTCTTATCTAACATCCAAAAACAATTCACTGTTCTGTAAAATTGCTTCAAAATTCGTTCTTTCATTGTTTTTCTTACCCTTTCTCATCCTTTCTTTATTTTTCCTTGTCATCCGAATCGTCTACAATTCCACTTCTCTGTCTTGCATGTGCAGCAACCTGACGGAGTGCTTGGGTAGCTATAAAAAGGGATCGCCATCGTCGTAACGCGCATTAACCGTTGCGTCGATGTGCTGACTGTGTGAAATTCTATGTCGTTTCTTAACCAACAAATCAAACCAAACATTGCACAAAATAAACACAACGTTACGATTCTGACTGTTGAACGGTGTATTTTACACTTGTTCGAATGAAAACAGGATAAATTGAGAACGTACATAATCCAAGAATAAACGAAGAACACAAAGGAGAAGATCCGGACCGACTTGAAGTACGTTCTGTATCGCGACTCGTTGTGTAATCGTGTTTATCATTTCTGGCGGTAAAAGTGACCACGAATAATTTGTTAAAAAGTGTACCAATTCGTATATAAATCGACATAGTCGATAAAGAAACTTGAAAGAAGAAACCCGGCTGATGTTTTCAGTGACAGACGACGTCACTTTCCATTGTGTTCTTATCTCGATGATATACTATCGCATCGTGCACGAATCGAATGATCAGCACAAGTTTAACGGTAAAAAATAAGAACAGTAACAGTATAAAAGACGCAAGAACAATTGAGATCCAGCCAACGTTGTACTCGTACTGTGACAATTACTTCAGCGTATTTATTTTTGAAGGTACGATCTTGGTACTCTTGCACTCTGCATCGCGACGGTATGAAATAACAAGAGGCTTGATTTGATCGACAAAATCGACAACGGTAGAGGCGGAGACCGTCTGATTTGTAGCGTCCGTACTCAATCCTCAGTGTAGGTTAGTCGGGCGCTCGGTTTGTCGTCCTCTCGACGATTTCCTAAACGCTCGTTCTTCGTGCTGATATTTTTCGCACGATAACGAGATTGTTATCTCCGAGAGATTCTACACGTTTATGTGCCATTTCTACATAACTGGCCAGGATAAAGATACAGTCTTATTGGGGGTGCTCTGGTACGATAGCAGGGTTATCTTAGAATAAACAAACTGTGACAAAAAAAGAAGCTGGAAGCTGCCTGTGATTTTTCTTTCATTACAACCGTGTCGAGCTCTACGAGGATCATTGAAATTGTTTAAGAAGATTATCGAAGAAAACGGAAGAGTAGAAACGTTTCATTTTTGACAAGCAGAAGTGTTCGATACGCAACGCACAAATATGGCGGCAAACATGTGCATGCAACAGAATTGTACCGACTCCGTTGGATTTTTGTATGAAATGATCACAGAGGATATGTGGACACCTTTGGAGGCCATGGTGGAATATTTAGAACAAACCCCGTGGTTGTTTTCTTTGATCGGTAGCACTATGATCGGATTAACTGGTATCTTCCCTTTGCTGATCATCCCTATTGAAGAAGGTGCCAATCTAAAAACAGGAGGTAATGCTTCTTCCTTTCATTGGATTATTTTATCATTATTAATATTTTGTTAGCACGACTGTGTACGATTCATATTTGTTTCTACTATGAAAAAGTTTGACGATCATGAATAGGAGGTTATGTACACGTTTTAACGCGCACGCGAGAAATAGCTCACAATAGGTTAGTACAGATGATCTATATGATCAGGTGCAACTTTGGTTTCCCTTAGTTAAGGAAACCTTCCACCATTTGTCCTATTTGTCCATGTTTTTTAAGCGTTGGTATAGAAAGTTCTAGGCTAGACTCTCTCGGGGGTTTCCCCAAGCTTAAAAGCAAATGGCGGGAGACTTCTCCCTCTACCTTTCCCTTTAACCAAGAAAAGCCTTTGTTGCACCCAAGTGGACCAATGAGATGGTTTGTTACTTTGCGATGCGGTGGTATATACATTTAATGGTATATGCACTTCCGGTTCTTTCAGATAGAGTACAAATTTACAGTGGATGAGTTTAAGTTTTTATGAATTTTAACACTAACAATTAATCTAATCTTATACTATATTTAGTTGGTCCCGTCCGATTGGTTACTTAATCATCAATTAATCAATACACCTTTTCGACTTGTTTGCGACAGATAACGCTTAATGAAATTGTGTTCTTTCCTTTTGTACGATTCAAAGATAATCAGAAATAAATGAAATTAATAATCTGTATGGGCTGTACAAAATTATATCGATTAGTTTGGACGCCAATAGTTGACTTGCGAAACCAAGTTCCCTTAGCCATAAGTACACGATAACAATCGATGATCTTTTGTACAAATAGCGAATCGTGTTCAAGTAAAATTATTAGAAATTAAATTGTAACATTTCCGTATTTTATTGGGACAGTTAATTATTGTATCGATTTTGTAATTCTTCGGACGCAATTGGATATTAATACCCGATGCAAATTGTATTTTTATCAGACAATGTTTATCTCGTTAAGTTTCTGTTTCGTCGCGATATGCTTTCGAACGTAATGTTAGAATCTACCTAGATAATTTCAAAATTCTGCACAGAAATTTGACCGAAACAGGAGGTAAATATTTGTACGAAAGGAATTTGTCATGATTTCCAAGTCTGAGGTCACGGATTATTATATCACGGATTCCTAGTTTCCAAACAAATAATTAATATCCATAATTCTCTGAAATAACACAACAAATGCAAAAATTATTCGTACTATATCTTGTCGCATAAAACTAAGCTGATTTTTTTCTTTAATAAAACAGAGATAAATAAGTTTATGGATGATTTTCAGACAAGCTGATCCATAGAGATCTACTGATTGAAGTTAAATATTGTTTACTCCTTTTCTCCGTTATCTATCTAATTGGAACGAATTAACTGTTATAAGAAACAAATTGCAAATGAAACGACGTATTAACGCAACGTGGCTCTCAGATTGGTGGAGATGTCCATTTTTAGAAATTACTTGGTCGCGTTGGCTGATGTTGCGGTTCACTTGTTCGTTCTTTTTAATAGTTCCACGATTTCGTGCACGCGAAATTATACACGGTGCCGTGGCACCGTGGACGGGATAAAAATAATGATAGGTTGTTACGTCGGGTAGGATCCACCGGTGTTTAAAAAGAAACACATTTGGCCCGTATGGGAAGATTCTGCTGCGCACATTATTCACTGCTGCGCATCGTGCCAGCGTCTTCTCCCGAAGTGTAATCTTGTCTCTTAGCGGAAAACATTTCGTATCGAGCCAGACTATTTGCGATGAATGTTTATTGTATCACTAGGGGGGAGACAGAAACGTAGGAGGATCTGGACAATATCTCTACGCCTCTTATTTCATAAGCACGGGGGTCTGTATTCACCCTCCCCATTCGAGGAGTTAATTTTCGCCACTGCCTCGTTCGTAAGCTGCGAACAACGCTGCCATGAAATTCTGCAAATGCTTCAGAGTAACATGGTCGACGCAACGACAAGATGATCCATTGTGCGAGCTGAGTAACGCGTTAACAGAATTCGCGATTCGTGTTAATCCGCGACACTCATTGTTCCACGCCAATGCTTTCATGCAAGCTCGTCGAACTAGTTCCTGAGAATGTATGTAGCGTCAATGGAATTTGCTAGTTGCAAGAAGAAATGGAGGAGAACATGCAAATTCCTTTTTTAAGTATCTAGATCACGAACGAGAAAGGTGGATCCCTATTTTGGCCCCGTTCATCTAGTCGAATGTTTTCTACACTTCTTTCTTTCACATTTTGCTTTTGAAGAAATTTGCTTATCTTCGAGTATAATAGGATCTATCTTTTCTATTGTGTTTTTCAAAGATGTTTAACATTTGGATGTAGCAAAAGAACGCGCGAAGTCCACATGAACGTGGATATTGTGTCACGACACAGGGAACCTCGAAGGTCGTGGAACTTGTTGGATACAATGGAGAATACGAATGAAATTTCCAATTCGTATGTAGGAGGACAGTAGAAGTGTACGTAACACTGTTTTTAATCAACACGTCAATTCAAGGGCGCCATTGCAATGATACCAGTGCACACGGTCATAACTGTAATAAAGTTTTGCAATAGTTCTCTCCTATCAAAAATGAATGTGTCTATAAATTACTTTATGCAGACAATTCATTTAATAATAATTCGTATCACGAAGAAATGACGATTTTCTTTATTAGGCCTCTCATAAAACTCGTAACGAGTTATATCAGTCGTAAATACTTTGGTTGGTTCTTTATATTCAAATGGATTTCCTGTCTGCATAATTATTATTGGAATTCGCTAGTCGCACTAACCATCGAAATTTCTTATTCTTTTTATTGAAATATTTTAAGACGATCTTATACATGTCTGGATCGAAACGATCTATACGGACCAGGTAACACCTATGGTTCCTAAGGGTGCCCAAAATCCTCCCATACAAAGTATAAAGGATCAAGTCCAACACCTGGCATTTTCCAGAACCCTCGATTACGTCTGGAGATGAAGAAGGAAAATTACGAAACAAATCGATACGCTTGCTTGCCTTTGCTATACTTTTTTCTATTGAAAACTTGTCAACGACACGGTAGAGGCGGTTTTCACTTTTGCACTTTCGTTGGTTAGACACGCGTCAGGCTGTAGTATTGACGGAAATTCTTCTAGAAATTTCCTTCGAAGGACGATCAATAAGGTCGAGGACGTTTAAACAACTTGCAAACGATATTTAAAATTCTATCGAATATTTTGCATGCTATGGTCGCACGCACAACTATTGATAAATAATTGATTCATTATTTATTTTACTACTCTGTTTCAATTGATAAGCCGAGTACTGCAATTGGCAATCGGTTTTCGACGACGTATATGCACGTCGAGGGCAGCGAAAGGATTAAATGGTTGACCGTATCCTGACAGATTATTTTTACCCCACGCTATTAATTGTTTTCCTCGTTTGCAAGTCAAATGAGACCTCTGTATCTCTCTCTTTTTTTCCCTTTATTGAAACACGTGAATCGTTTCTCTGTTCGTTCTTCGACAGCTACAGTTACCGTGTTTGGTCATCGACCTCCTCTTCGTGATGGTGTTCGTTGGCTGGTGTCTCGATGATCGTATCGTGGTGCAGGATTAAGCAAAGTATCCCATTTAAATTGCGAAACTGTACATAAATCGATGATGCAACGTTGAGCAAGATGATTTTTTCGCGATTCGATCAAACTGCACTTTCGTTGAATTTCTCATTGCTTATTCTCTTTGGTAGATTTCAATTTAAATTCTAAATCATCCAGAGAAAAATAGTCGATGTTCGCTGGAATTTGAGAATTAGAGCAGGAAAATTCCTTAGCCGTAAATGGAGCACCAGGTGTGCAGGCAAAGTGCAATTATCGCACCTCTATTGTCTCCTACGCTCTGGTTGCATTCTTTGAAACGTGTTACGTATAAAAGGATTAGGATGGAATGTTAAAGTTTAGAACGCAACGATTCTGAACGAATCTGGAAATGACGAAACGGATGCAGCATCAAATGACGTTTCTCTCTCTCTCTCAGAGACACCGACTATTCTAGAGTCTATTATCAAGCTTGTCTCGTTGTGCTACCCACGACACTCGTTCTAATGCAATCTGTATTTGAACCTCTGAATCGTGATCAACTCCATGGAATGGAAAGTATGATTATGTTACATGCATTCCTTCGTTATTCAATTCTTTTTCAGTCGCAATCGTCTCTCAATTTTATATTTTTTCCATCGCGGTAGACCTTGAGTCACTTCCTGTCATTTATCAAAATTGATAAATGATAGATTTCACTTTATTTGTGGCAAATTTTCGATCCAGCTGCGTGCTACTTTGAAGCAATACTTAGTTGCCAAGCTAATTCATCAAACTTCTTGTCAGAAAAGACTTTTTTATTAATTGGCAAATGACAATTTGAAGATTGATCCTCTATCGTATCTATAATTTCATCGGATTGCCGTGCATTTTTCAAAAATGACCACGGAGCAATCAGGAGTCAAGTGTCCGTCTAGTAATCTTTTGCAACTTTTTCAGTAAATATGATGTTTTCGATAAGAAACAATAAAAATAAACGAAACAAAATGACCGTTGATATTGTTGCGAGCGAATGTTGATAAAGCTATCAAATTGATCGATAATTTTACAGCGACATTGTAATGATTCCATCGTGTATAAAATCGCGACATTTTTTTTAAGCTTAACTAAAATGTTTCTAAAATTGCACAGTTATCTGAAGTATTTCAAATATTACGCAATGAATAGGATTAAAAATTCCATTTCGGAGATAATAAAAATGATATATGATTCGGTAGAACGAAAAGATTCCTTATCAATTGAATTTGAAACAGGAATTTAATAAATTCTCGATACTAAAAATATTTATCATTCGGAGCAGGTAAATTTAGAATTTAAAGAAACTAACGATTTGCCATGCAAATTGATCTCGTTTCCATTTAAAATGTCGCGATGATAGTAACAGAATACATTACTGTCTCATCCTCTCTAAATTGTATATTCCAAGTTTTGTTTTCAAAGAACAGCGAGAAAACGTTCGCGAAAGGGATTAATTATTCTAATGCATGCGCGTCGTAATAGCACAATTAAGCAAGTTTGATGGTGGAGATTGTTGAGTGCAATAACGTTGCGTTGTTTCATCATGAAAAATGCTTCTTTGTCCATAAACAATTCTAAGAATCGCGTTTAAGATGAAGATCGTAAGATGAAGATGCAAGACGCGCTTGATTCCAAGGCGCCACGCGACACAGAAACGAAAATTCAATGCCTCGGACTCATGTTTCCAAATTATCGTACAACTAATTATCGCGTAGCGCAATTCGGGAACTTGTCGTTGAAGATAACACAGATTTATCATTGGTCACGCGCCATAAACGCGCTTATTTTCCTCATGCACTTATTTTGCAAGCAACGTTGTTAAAATAAAACTATCCGCGATTCTGTATAGAAGATGTTACAAATTTGCTACCCGAGTTAATTTTGTATGAATTCTGTTTTGGTGACAATTTCCTTCAAAATTGAATACTTCAACTGTACTAAAATTATATCAGAACCGAGCATCCGAAAAAAAAAAGATGGAATAATGCAGTTTAAGTTGCATAATGCAAAAAAACGCGCATGTAATTAGACACGGTTCGGTTGACCATCAGTGGGTGTAAATGAAACAGGGAAAGGGTTTTTCCGTTGCAGAGAGTTTATCGCTAACGTGTCATCGCAACTTTTATTACTAATGGCTTATTGTTTGACTGTTTGCATTCATTCGTAGAACCGCTGTCACAACTCTTTCCTACTTCAATCATTTCAATTGTAAACACACCGAATCTTTTTTAAGGAACAACGGTTGACATGTTTCATATATCCTAGTAACTGTGGCTCGTGTGCAGTGTGTAAACACTGATTCGTCTTAAAAAGTATCGAGACTAACGCAAGATTTATTGATCCGTCCCATCGATCACGAGGTCGGTGCAAGGTTCGCGATTCCGCGAGGGGAAATACATGCTGATTCTGCACGCATCAAAGAAAATGTACATACATTTGAATTATATTATTAAGGATAGAATGTTAAAAAATGATGTTACACATTACAAATTTCTTTTTCCTATAAATAATTCAAGCAATGAATGGAGTGAAAGTAGCGCATAAGTAAAGAAATTCAATGATTAATCGTATATACATTTTCCTTCTTTTTCCTCTGCGTACGTATTACACTCGGGAAATTACTCGTTCGTGCAACTTTTGCAACCGATGACTTTATTTGTTCCAATTTCCCTGCATCGCGTGCTCGTGTTCGACGTCCGAGACGAAAAGTCCCTCGTACGCTGGAGATTTATGTCGATTGAATAAAAGATTTCCACGTGGAATTGTAAAGGTCTGTTTCACGAGGACAAGACGTGCAACTAGCTGCAACTATTTTTCACGAAAAGGTTGTCGTATCGAGAAAACTCGGGGGTTTACTGAACTTTTCGCTCGAAACGAACGAACGTTTATCTTTATAGAATAATTAACCGCGGTCGTAATTGTCCGATTATTATTGTTTGTCGTATGAGAAAATTAATCGAGGGTACGTCGACTGTCTTGAATACCCGATTTGATATTCCGTCTTACGTTATCGTTCTGAAATTGTTTTCAAACTGAACTGATGAATTTTTCAACGAACGAGTGTCTATACTGTTCATTAAGAACACTGCGCGTTCTGCGCTCTTCTTAATTCTTCATTTAATAATCTGCTCCACAAAAAGTGGATCAAGGTCTGCCGAGCAACTATCTCAATCTCGCATTGATGCAGGCACACATTTTTTAAAATAATCTTTCATTAAAATAAAAAAAGATCCCGATTATTTTTCTCAATTAATCGCAAAAAATAATCCGTAAAATTTCTTGAACATTTGTCCAAAATCAAGACTGGACTAATCGCGATAAACCAATTATATTTGGTTCTTTTTGTAAATCTAAGAAGATAGTACAGTTGACGTAATGAAAAATACAATAATCTATATAATTGGCGATCGGTTGCCGGCAGTGATTGATATCATCTAATCGTACAGAATGATAGGGAAAACGGTGTTTGATTTCTTCTCAAGTGGCTGTTTCTGAAGGAGAATTAAACTGATTTTACTTTTTAATCCCCTCGGATTTTATTCTCAAGCGGTCCGGAAAATCATTGCAAAAGGTTAACTTATTAAGTGTGGAATAGTGTGGGTGATCGATTGAAATAGGACTAAAATGTAGGGTAAAGGTATCGAGTTGACTGGATCGCGTTTTAATACGATCACCTTCTATCCATGCGAGGAAATCAATCGCGAGTGAAATTGTCGATGATACGCGATTTGGCTTCGAAATTTATCGACAACTCGCAGGAGAAACCAACTCATCATCCGTGTCGATATTTCTACTCATATGTATGGTTTAGTAAATGGGATTTGCTAGGATCACATTGTTCGTTCAGTGGACCTAATTTTCGATAATTGCTAGCATTCGACGTAGAAATTTTAATAACAAAGCCTTCGGATGTTACCCTTCCTTCATTGATCACGACAGAAAACTTCCTATTCAACCGGATGTCTCTATCATGAAACAATGTAAAATCAACAGACCAAATGCAAAATAACTTCAAATACAATGCTGTGTTGTAAAATGCTCCTAGACAATAGACTCCAATATTTAAAATGTAAAGAGGACAGATATCTGTTGATAAAACAGTAATTGTTGCCTTTCAGTCATCATTCATGTTGCTGCGTTAAATCAAGCGGAGAGTGAGAGTCTCTTTGCCTCTCCAGTGTAAAAGGTTAACGACCGAATTTTAGATCCTTCAAGTAACGCAATATACTATGAATCTAACGTATCTCCATTGGGTTTCTATGTTACAGACAGCGCCGGTACGTTGAAAGTATTGCTGAGCTTCGCAGTCGGTGGTCTTTTGGGCGACGTCTTCCTCCACCTTTTGCCGGAAGCATGGGCGAACAGTTCGATGCAAAAAGGTACGATAATACTGGAGGATTTGGATGCCTCTTGCGATTCGACCGAAGAAAACGCGTTTTATCGGAAGAAATGGAGATAGAAGGTATTAGCAACTAGTGGTTCGCCCTTGCTTGCAATACCATCGCACAAAATGGCAACAGAGGCGTTTCGTGATTCAGTTGAAAGATGAGTCACATTAGATAATGAATAAACCAATCGCGAAGCCCGCATGAATGGACTTCGAACGAAATTCTGCAGGCTTATTTCTACTTTACTGTAAAATTTTTGAAGAAACTATAAGGGATTGCTCTTTAGCTACGATATCCTATCATTTATTAATAATGGCTCCTAGAATGATTTAGAAGTACGAAATCAGCTTGCACAGAATGGTCCATAATTTACAATTTCAAACAAATTATTGACAAAACATTGCGTAATGAGTATGACAAATTATATAACAATGAAACGTAAATATGCGACACAAGGAAGCAGCAATAGTGTCACGGGGTTAATGAAGCCTTGAACGACGCAGCCCGGAAAGTCCCCCTGTTTATCGACTTCGAATATTAAGAAACCGATCGATCAGTGCAATAATATCTGCGCATCCTATACAGGCTCTCTACTCTTCTCTTTCTGTATCGTTCAATCAAGAATGCATGTGCAGTTCACGTGCGCCATCCGCAATTTTGTGCGCTCGCTATGGCGTCTATGCCCTCGAGACACCGGTTGCTTTATCACTCTTTTAATCGTTTTGAACTCTACCGACCCCGTGTCGTCTGCAAAAATTTTTACCTAGAATGTTTCCTGTCACCGAATGTTATCGCTGTTTCAAACGACAGAGACGAATGTACAGTCTTTCCAGGAATTTTTCGTTCACATTTAAGTCCAGATTAATTGAGACAATATTGAATAGTTCTATCGTGTATGCTAGGCCAGACTCGAAGCGATCCTCTGCCTTCGTCGACCTCTTTGTGAGCGGTTCAAACGACGCTCTGAAAGTCTATTGTGCCTCAGTTGCGGATTTCAATTGCCAGTTGTCCTCTCTTGAATGAAATCGACTCGATTCTTCTAGTTCACATGCGATTTCCGAGTTACCTGCTTCATTAAATTGCAGTTAATCAAAATTGTTGTCATTTCAGTGACCGACGCTGGACATCCGTCGATGAGCTGTGGCATGTGGGTACTTAGTGGCTTCCTGGTGTTCGTCATAGCGGAAAAACTCTTTGGATTCGAGCAGGAAGCTGAACCCGATGATGCGTTCGCGAATCAGAAAGAAATACTCGATGAAACGAGCATTGATGATGAGAAGGAAATGGAGAACAACAATTGTATCACGTCGATGGGAAACAATCTGAAAAATGGTTTCTCGAAACGTTACACCAAGACTGACTTCGAAAAGGCTATGAACGAGGTAATATATCAATATTCCTAATTTCTATAAGATACCCGTGGACAAAGATTTTTCTACATGCATGTTTATGTACATGGTTTTTTGCAGATGCAACCATTTTTGGAGAAGAAGAATGGATACTCTCACTTGTCGAATGGTTACAAAGATACTCATAAGAATGGCTTTATCAATGGTATCAAGCCAGTCTTAATGTGCAGCGAGTTCTCAAATACTCTGAAAGGACTGTCGTTAAATGATGCGGAAGATTGCTTGAAGAAATTGACAAAAACCAATGGCTTCTCGATTAAATCATCAAAAAGTAACGTCCCTAGCGCTAAAAAGATTCCTACGACAGACAAAGCCAAACACATAACCGGTTACCTTAATTTGGTAGCCAATATCATAGACAATTTCACTCATGGCCTGGCCGTGGGTGGTTCATTCCTTGTTTCCTTCCGTTTGGGAGTTCTTACTACTTTTGCTATTCTCATACACGAGATACCTCACGAGGTTGGAGATTTCGCTATTCTGTTACGCAGTGGATTTAACAGATGGGATGCTGCGCGGGCGCAGCTTCTCACTGCCACTGGTGGCATTTTTGGAGCTATGTTTGCAGTATGTTTCTCCGGCGGTGAAGTAGGTAGGTATATTTATATACATTTATGATCAATCTTTTAAAATATGTATCAATTTCTAATTGAAATGTTACTTTGTGTCTAGGCGCAAAAACAAGTTGGATATTACCATTCACCGCGGGTGGTTTTCTACACATTGGATTGGTAACCATTTTGCCTGAACTGCTTAAAGAATCTAATCCCAAAGAATCTTTAAAGCAGTTCACCGCGTTATTATTCGGTATTCTCGTGATGGCAATTCTAACAATCTTTTGCGACTAGGGTTAGGCTGTTTTATAATAGCCTTTAGAATTCAGTGGTCGATCTACTAATGTTGGTGCTTACCGAGGATAGAGTTTTTTGAGGGTAGGATCTCGGTACGTACCAGGACAGTAATTCGAGTTTGCCATAAAAAAAAAAGAATTGTACCGTGTAATACTTGTTGCTCAATAGGGGTGAATGTACGTTGTGAGACGGCGAAAACGAGGAACCATGATTTCATTACGCGAATGTAGTATTTTCTTTTCGTTTTTTTTAAATCGGTCTAATACTGGTTTTGAGTTTACCTGTGATCATCCTTAATGAAGGAGTTTCATTTGCACCTCGGTGATGTACGTCGGTCTCGTTTTGCGGTGAGTAATGTTCGTGTTTTTCTGAAAATGAGAGAAGTAAGAGAATGAAAACGAAATGAAAGGAAGTATTTATACAAATTACTTTTATATTTTTCGATCGTTTATTGGGGATCGTATTATTGGCAATTCGGTATTATCAATTTATATTAATACCTTGAGAGATATTGTTATAAACAGTTGCATAGTTTATACATGAATATATACATGTTCCTCTATAAACTATCGAAAGCATGTTGTAAAGAAACGCGATTCCGTTTTTGAGATATCGACACACTTAAACCTTGTTATCCAGAAATTCCATATGTGAATCTAGTATTGACGTATGACTTTCACGTTGTGAAATGAATCATTGTGTATATAATGTTTATGCTTCCTTGTTTAGTGTTTGAAAAAAAGAAAAAAAAAATGAAAGAACATTTTGTAAACTACACACAGAAAAAGCAAGTATATTTTCGGATATAAACGTCAGTTCGTTCGACACACGTACTCCGACACGACAGATGTATATTTTAAGTTCCTACACAGTTTTGTAAATAATATATCGAATTTACTATTTTATCGTGGAAGTAACAAGGAAAAAAAGAAATTATTACAGATATAAAAACACAAAATTCATACATCAGTACATAAAGAAAAATAATCCATTAAAGTGTTATGCAAAGTCTGTAAAATTGGTATGTAGATATAGACATTGTATTTAATAAAATTTGAAAAATCGTGTAAAATCAAGTATTTTAGAAAATTTGTAAGATCATGGATTAAGTGAGTCATTGACCTAAAAGGAGAATCCATCTGTTCTCCATAGTATCATGTGCGATTTAATGAACGGCACAAAAACAAATATAATCCTTGTACTTAAAGAAAACAAGGTATTCACCAACAAAACTTGACACATGAGTATTCTTTTCAATCATGTGTAAATAGAGGTTCTATACTTATGAAGCTGGTTTAAACAGCAATTTGGCAAGTATATTTTCTATAAACTATGACTAAACAAGCAAATTGTTCATATATAACCATTATAATTTGTAAATAAAATATGTTATTCTATAAAACCAGCCTGGGTGTGTTTGAAATCTTTTTTTCGTTCTAACAAACAACACGAATGAGAATAGTACAAAATAATTTATTAAACAATCTTCTTAGAACATAAGAAACATAACAATTCTTTACCTTTATTAGACAGGTAACTGAAGTACCTTATATACTATACATATACAGGATTGTCGGTTAGGGGGAGTATCCTTTAAGAGGGTGATGACCGAGATGATCAACTTTCCTTTTACCAAAATACTCGTTAAACATTAGTTTTCAAATTATTAATGAAAAACGTCGACTAATTACAGCGCGTATGGAATGCGTGCTTAACCACAGGAATATCGGCTACGAACTGAGCACGACTCGCTGTCGAGTAGTTTGTAAACAAGCACGCTCTAAACCAGTTTTGTAGCCGACACTCGCGCAGCTTAGCCTACGTTCTATGTGCGTTCTGATTTCTCAGTGTTTTCCATTAAAATAATTTAAAAATTAAATATTAATGAGTATTGCGGTAAGGGAAAAAGTTTTTCGAAATCAGCCCAGCTGCCATCCTCTCAAATGATATTCACCCATGGCCGAACACCCTGTATACAGACATTATGTATTATTTTTTGTTTCTTTGATTCACACATACACACGCACACTCGTTGTATAATACACTGTATATTTATTTATTAAAATTTGCAACATATTCGTTACCGAATATGTAGTTATTCACAGTCTTTGTGTAATATCAACAAGCGATATCAAAGTGTCTATGCCTAAAGGAGTTTCGTTACGCGTAAAACTTCGTACAATGACTTAGAACATGAATTAACATACCAGAGTTCCTTCTTCACGAATGTTCAATCACACACACTTCATATTTCCTATTTATAATTCATCACGGGTGTTTTCAACTGTTTGAAGCTTTTCAACCAGCACATTTAAGATATCGTAAGAGTTCGAAAAATGCTTTACGATTGGAAGTAATACATCTTTGGTTTCTCTGAATTGATTTATACAAATCGGAGTAATAGTGTTCATACTTTCGGCAATGGTTTCAAGGAATTCATCATTAAATAATGAACTAAGATCCTCTTTAACACTTCTTATCATTAGATTACTTAAATGTTTACAATACTCGTACATTAGCACTTTTTTTTCTATATCTGCAGGTGCGTATGCTTTTATTCTTGTTTGCTTTTGTTTTGCATCCGTGATTTGTTCTATATTTTGTCTTTCAATAATTAGGTCACTGATTAGTTTCATGACTTTTATTTGTATTTGCAACTCATCATCAACCAAAATCTTTCCAAATATTTCTACTCCTCCATGATCAATCCAAATTTTTTGAGCTGCTGGGAACTGTCTTATTAAGGCACTCAAAGCAAAGAGACACCTTGATTTCACATCTACTATATTATTTGTAGATAATATATATAAAAGTTTCTGAACAAGATCACTTTCTAATGCTTTCAACTGAACTTGAGGATTGGACTGAACTGCTGCACCAAGAAGCCTTAAAGCTTCAGCTTTTATTTCATTATTTGTTCCATTAAGGCATGGAGATACAATTTTACTCATGCTGGAATTGAGATATTAAGAATGTAAATCCTTGTAATTTCATTATAGGTAAGTCATTTTTATACCTACCCTTCCATATCGGTAAACACTTTGGCATTATCAATGTGATGAAGTAAATATTCTAGGTTATGCAAAATATCTAATATTTCCTTCACTTCTATTATTGTTAAAGTTCCCATAGTGATTGCATTCTTATGAGTTTGAAACTTTTGAATATAATTATTTAACAGTTCTGAATCGGTTGTAATATTTATCTCAAGTTCTTTAAGCTCTTTTTTCAGTGTCTCATAGTCGCGAAATTTTTTTTTTATTTCTTTAGCATGTTCGTCCTAAAAGTACAATATATATAGAAAATTTATTCTAATCTTCTGTGTAGAATAGAAATAATTACATCTAATTCTGGAATATTCTCTGCATTATCTTGTTTCATCTTTTTTAATCTAGCCTTTAATTCCTGTATTGGATGTTCAAACAAGTCAGGTTTTTCTGTAGTCACAGAAGTGTCTTCATCTTCAAAAATTGCTTTTTCAGGATGTAATGTTAAAGAATTTGTGGCTGAATCTGTAATTGAATGTGTAACATTCAAATTGTCAGTAGAATGTTCTTCATCCAGATCCTCAACATCCAACAATTTGGCTTCTGTAACTCCAGTTTGCACATTGTGCCGTATGTGCAACCCTCTAGGTAGTGGTGTACCTAATAAAACATATAATAAATACAAAAATGAATCGTATTATAAACGATTTTATTCGCACCCATAAACACATTTCTGTGTACGTTACTGTGGTATATATTTTGTGCTATATCATATTTAAATATATGTATTTAATATATTTCGAAATAACATAAACCAAAATTTTTACAGAAAATTTTTTATTAGATCGAGGATATCACATTTAAACAATGACAGAGGAATTATAATTCGTGTTCTCGAAAAAATCAGGATGCCAAATTTGACTGACGTGGTATTAGGAAGAGCACAATCAGCTGCGTAAAAAAGTAGTCCCATACATTTCGTCGTAGAATATTAAATAAATGTTTACTTACCTTTTTTTACAATTTGCCATTCCCGGGTTGGTATAAATGTCGTTTCATTTTTTTCCGTGTTACCGGATATTACCGGTAACAAGAGTAAACATGTTAGAATAATCGTATTAGATTGCATTCTTCTAAGTTCTTGCCGTTGACCAAGGGATACAACTTTTCTCAAGATACGCCGTCAACTTCCGCAAAACTCTTTATAATTTTTCAATAAATTTTTGTTAACCGTATTAAAATACTTTCTTAATATTTTTACGAAGCTCTTTCATCGCACATCTGTTCAATTTAAATGTTATTCATGTGTTGCGCCTGATATTTATGCAGGCAATGTATCGATGCTAGTTTCATGTTTTCACCATCAAGGATTATGTAGACCAATAGTCGTTAAGCGCGTCGTTGCCAAACTTTTCATTCAGACCGTATTATTATTCATTTTATAACGTTTTTCTACGCCTAATAAATATTATTATATCTATTGTAGAAAGAACTTATATTCTTGAAATTTTTATATTTGTAAATATATGATATTTCATGTTTTTATATTCATTGTAAAGTATAATTGTATGTATAAAAGAATATCGTGTAATTTCCGCATTTAATGTTCGAAAAAATACTAATAATTAAAATATACATATGAGCGAGATAGCCCTTCTCTTTACAATAATTCATGTATTAATTTTGAAGGGTATACAATGATTTTTAAATTGATTAGCTGAAGAAAATTCTGAAGAGTACGGAACTAAACGAATTCGTTTTCGATTCGATTAATTTCTTTCATGATTAACCTAAAATAGGGGGCTAAATAACACCCGTCTTAAATCCTTCAGTGATGTTTTATGACATTAAGTGGCAACGTTGCTTACGATAGTTGAATGTGCATCAACCAATCAAACAGAAGAACGTATTCTAGGCGCGCAAGGCTGAGTACGCGAAACTCATTTGCTACGCGTTCGTCTAGCACGTGCGACCACTGTTCTTCGCGCAGTGACCGTTGTGCGCGCGGCGTCTTTAGCTTCTCCATTCTCATTCGGCACGCACACTCCAACGGACTTCTATACATCCACTAACGAGAATCCTTTAATATCAAGTCGATCATCATGGCAGAAGAATATCTTTACGGTAAATATCAGCAACCGTGTTGCCGTGAATATTGCGGCTTCCTTATTTTACGACACACGCCAATACTTTCGTCGTCAGTGGCCATTGGACGCGAGCGGTATTATGGTTGAGACGCCGGCTGGCTTTCGGCCATTGTGACGAACCCCCATTGTCCCTGAAGATCTAACGAACTTGCGTTTTTATCTATCTGTAATATAACGGCAATCATTTACGATATTTCGTGTGCGTACTTTTGTGATTTGTGTGTTCAGGAATCACTCTCGAAGGACTCAATTCTAGCGAGGTATGGGATCCAGAACACAAGAACGACGATGCAGACGGCACGAACCAACATTTCGGTGCCGATCAGAAGCTTATCATAAAAATGGTATGTGAAATTTATCGATGAGATAATATTCAGAGTTATTTTATGTTCTATCGGTTTTTAATATGCCATGAATGTTTGGTTGAATTTTCATTGTCTTCCGTTACAAGTGGTGGATATTCGTTGACGCGCGATCACACTGGCAACAGCTTTTCTATTTCATCTACGATGTATATAATTCTCGATTTATTTGACTCTAATGCTCTTCAAGTTTTGCGAAGCACAGCGGCTCTTTGTCTATCGTTCTATTAACCGTGCAAGAATTATATGACCAATATTTGGCGTCACTGGTAATCCCGATTTTTCGAGCGCTTTCATCACATCTCGTTATGTTTGCGCGCGAATTTTTAACCCTGATATAAAACTAACATATTGGACTTCACCGTTGCCTATATTCTTTGTCTTCGTAAATTAGGTTATATCCTTTCAATTTCGAATTTTCGAGAAATGAAACAATCAAAATGTTCGATACTGCTTCTTGGCTGCACTAATAGTATGTTTTATAGTGGCCCTATAAACAGTTTGTTAATTATGATTGAATCTGTAATTGTATTTACATATTAAAACTGTTATAAATGTATATTAATAACGCTAACCTAGAAGTTTTGTATATTTTACTTGCTTATACTATAATTTGTAATACCTAACTTAAATCTATTATTAAAACTTATTTTACATAATCATGTAATTTTTTAGTGATTTCTTATACATATGTAATAAACTTAGTTTCTATTTGTATGTACTGGTAATATGATATATATGTTTCATTTATATGGTAGTATACAATAATTTTGTTATTTTTGGATACACTGTTTTCTAGAAATAATACAGCTATCCTGGTCTAAAGCAAGTTTCATTTTAATTGGTCATGTTTATTTTTTTTATAGGCACTTTTAGGTCCCGAGGCTAAATCCGGGGAGCTCAATGTGCTACAGGTAGAAGCAATGGGTTTGAAAGGACCCATTAAAACACCAATTGCGCTGTTGGAGATGGGAAAAACAGCACAGATTATCCTGGACCTTAGTTTTCCCGACCCTCCAGTCACGTTTACTTTGATTAAAGGCAGTGGCCCTGTTCACATAGTAGGACACAATCTTCTTGGTAAGAACATATATCATGTGTTGATGTACATCCATAACAGTTATGTATATTCTACAATTCCCATAATGTATTTGTATTGAATAGTAGACAATAGTATTTACAATGCATGTTAAAGTATAGGATTTTCAGTATTTTAGTATGTTTGGACCAAAGGAGCACATGGAAGGGCGAAAATTATAACGGGACGCCTTTTAATAATATATATAGTGATACATGTATAGTAGAATTAAACAATTTTAGTTATATGTGAAACAAATTTTAATTAACTGGATATATACACGAAAAACTTCGTATTTTGATCTCTTTGTTTAATATTCATTTCTTAAAAACATTTTGTTATTTTACAGAAAAATCGAAAAGAATACTGCAAACAAAAATAAATGATTTTCTATTAATTCCACTTTTTAGGTACACACATGGAAGAATTTGATGATATGGATGATGAGATGGAAGAAGAGAACATCGATGATGACGATGATGATAAGGTATATATATATCCTTAAATAATTACTCAAAAATAATAGATATACATGTACATATTAAAAGTTACGCGGAAATTTATAATGGAAAAAAAAAGATTGTATTTGTGACTGACATTTTAAATAGAGGATGTATGAGAATCACCTAAGTCTTGACATAAAAGAAATGCAGAATATTTTCGGCAAAATGATTTCAGACATATATACGAGCAAAACAAATGGATATTAACAGTTCTCAGTATACTTTTATTATGTATATTATCAGAAGTGATAGTATTTCAGTTTCTATATACTAGGAATACAAATTTCAGGCACCGCAAAAGAAACGAAAGCATTCTGCAGAGGGTAAAAAAAATGGCACGAAGCGTGCCAGGATGGATGAAGCTGTAGACAAATAGAATCGTAATATTAAAATGCTGCTATTCAATCATCCTCCAAAAATGAATTTTACCAAGAATATTTTAAAGTCACGTTTTTTAAGTATTAAGATTTGCGGGGGGCGGGAGGGCTCTGAAGATTGTTTAAAGAATAAACGAAAGTCGTGGAGATAACTTCCTGCGTTTGTGTCTTCATTCCATGTGTCTATTTTATTTTTTTTTCTGCATAATAAATCATCCCATTTCGAAACGCTTGCTTTTATTCTTTACTCATCATGCTTCCTCTTTTACATTTTAAGTTTTGGACTCGTAATTCCAATATTATAGGGAAAGGAAACATTAGAATGTCAGCGATACAATCTTTTATACGAAAAATTTTGTTTCTAAATTGTTTGTCTTAATGTTACTTGTATCACTATTAAAACTTTTTCGAAGTATCTACAGAGTTACATTCTCTTTCTTATTTCGATATGTTAGGAGCCAGAAGACGAGGAAGATGATGAAGATGAACCCAAGAAGAAGAACGCCAAATTAACAACTGCAGCCAAATACAAAAATCAAGCTAATAAGAACAAGAAAAAATAAGCATGAGCCTTAATACTAATGGAAATACAACAAACTTTTAAGTTAGGCTAATAAGCGTAAGTCCATCATTATCATCCGCATTTGTGCGAATCTAGTATCGTTTCACCAGATTATCAGACGACAAACGTTGCCTTCCACGTTTCTACGACACAACTGGACCAATGAAATAGTATAACGTGTAACATTACATAGTATAAAATGAATAATGGCAAGTTTTATTGGTCCATAGCCATTTTAATTAAGTAATGTAAGGTTTAACATAGAAGAAAAGTGAGAATTTTCTATTCGAAGATTTCTCTGTATGCCTTAGAAGAATGATCCCTGAAACAGATTAGACGAATTTCGTGGAATATTAAAAACGTGAATCAAATATTATTTTTTTGACTAAATTTTATAAAGTTCGAAGGGCATTCTTCTGAGAGCTAAACGCACATAGTAACTTGTTCTATCTCGTTCCAATGGAATTATCAAGGAAAAAAAAAATAAAAAATGTGATCAAAATTAGTAAGGAGTTTGCGAGGCAGTGCAAGAATACCGTTTTCTACGTGTGAAAGTGAACATAAACATTTGGCCCAGTTGTTGTTAATAAAATAAGTGGAAAGCACGGACGGACCTACAGTGAGGTGTATTTGTATCATTTCCTTTTTTGTCTTCTCCGATGCCGTGTTCACACATCGACACTTCCAGTGAATTGAAGCTACACTATTCTACCGTAGTCATGTAAACGCGATTCAGAAAAACGAACTACTACGCTCTTTAAACAAAATGCAAAGATAACGTTCCAGTGTAATTTATTATTTTCGTGTGTACAAGATGGGGAAAGGGGTAATAGTCACAAGAAACCCTTATTACTAGAATGTTATTAATGATTGTAAAGAGGAAAAAAATGATAATGAGATCTGAATTAAAAGAAACATTTAAGCGTCATCACGACATTCATTCCATTTGATGAAAGATAATAGGAAGAGGGGGGGGTTACAGGTGTACTACACAACGTGATGCTCTTACATCAGTGTTATATGCGGTCAATGCATATACAAAGCGTGTACAAAACGCGCCCATGCGATTGATAAGTAGTCTGTACACCTATTTTGTACATATACGATACAATAAAAAATTTCACAACTTTTAATCAGTATCGTATGATGTAATTTTTATTCAGCACCTTATCCATATTTCTGGTCAACTTTATTGTCAAAGTAGGTTAAGCAATTTTGTGACATTCAAAACGTTCTTCAATTGTCGATACAATTTAAACATGGTTAATAATTTCATGAAAATTATTTTTGGTCATTATGTGTTCAAAAGAATTTGCTCGTTTGTACAGTTCTCGGTAAAGTAACTTAAAGAAAAAGAAAAATAATTCGATGATTTCCAGCGTGTGGATGATACATTAATTTATTCTGTAAGAAGAATCTTGAAACCATCTACAACTAGACAGAACCTAAAAAGAAAAATTTACAAATTATTTAAATAACTAAACTGTTTTTACCGCTTGTCGCTGGAACGTAATATTCGCTATTATGATATGCAGAATATTAATTCAAAGAATAGCTTGATCAAAAATACGGATGCGACAGTTTTCTGTACGAATGCACAATGTCAAATTATCAACGAGGAACTAGTGAACTTACGTCAACAGGTACGGTTACCAAAAATGATCCTATACATTGATAATTAACTAACAAGACTTTAATTAATAGGTGTCGGATCTGAAAGAAACGGTTGTTTCTCTGGAGAATACTATACAAATAAAGGACATGCAACTGCAGAATGTGCAACGAAGTAACGAACGCTTATCTACAGAACTGAAGAAACAACAGAGATGCGTGAGGAACATCAAACGTAAGACTTTCGAAATTTCCTCTTAACCTTATTGCAATCCTTAAATGTATTGAATTAATTCCAGAGCAGTTGGACGATGAAAAGTTCTTCTATCAAAGGGAAAAGGATTATTTCAACAGTGAAATGCAACGACAGAAAGCACGATGCGTGAGCGGTACCTCGAAATTGCAACAACAACGAAGAGAATTGGAGGAGACGCGAGATTCTTTGGAAGAGGAAAACAAGTCACTCAGAGAGGAACTTAATGAGAAAACTGAAACTACATATAATTTGTGTATCAAATTTTTACGTATGAAATACGCTAAAGATTCGTTGAGGCAAAAATTTGATCAGCTGTTGAATGAACACCTGCAAGTAATGGCAGACATGATGAAGAAGTTAGATGAGGCTCGTGGAGAGCTGAATATTATCGTCTCAGAGAAATTTCAAGAGCCTCTGCCGCTTAGTAAAGCAAAATTTTTGCAGGTGAATCTTATTAAATATTGTAATTTCTTTCAGTTATGAATAGAAAGATATACATTGTCTATTGCTTAAAAAAGTAATTATTGTTTGCTATGTGCACCTTTAGGTGGTACAAAGAAACGCTCGATTGGTTCATGAAAATGCGGTACTTAAGGTACAGATACAGCAGTTAACTTTAAATATAGAAAAATTAAAGAGCTACACACAGAAGCCGAAGTCAATAAACATTGATGCAAAGATTATTACTAAATTGGCCACGCAAAGTAGAAGAAAATACTGTCAGGGATCTACCAAATGGCTGCCAATTCAGTAAGAAGATTATCTCTGCTTGTTTTTATATAATCCCTTTTTTCTTTAACAAATTTTGTATGTTTACAAATTTATTAATACATTTGTTTGTGTTTTACAAATTGTTTAAGTTTATTAATACTGATTAGGTTTATTTCCTTATTGCTAGATTGTTCGAAAACGAGACTGAAAGAACTGCATTACTTAACAAGTTCTCGAATCATGAAAGTTCTGTCCATTATTCCGGAGACGCGAAATTAATATCGAAAATTCGATCAAATAATTTTAAAAAATACGTGGACACTAATGTGCAAGATATTCAAACCAAAGAAACACGGAAATTACAAAGAGAACGTGCATTTAGCGCACCGGAAATATTACATACAGAAGTCCAACCAAGCTCCCCTACGATTGATCAAACAGAGTCGTCGATAGACTTCCGAGATGCCTCCACGAACACATAGTAGGAAAAGTTAAAAATTTAAACTATTTCTGTATAAATGTAAATTGTTACGAATCCTTAAGCGTTTTATATTTCTTATTTTATTAAAATATGTATGTATATCAATCATAGAGCGCATAATGTATTGTATCGGTTGTAGCTTGTATCGAAGTAAAGTAAAATGTTTCCCAGACTCTCCCCCAGCGGGCGCGTTTAGTATGATACACCACGTTGAATTCGACATTCAGTTGTTCGTCGATCGATGAGTACGTGTGTGTAGTGCGATATAATAAGATGAATCGAACTAAGCCCTTGAATATTGTTGGGCATTGCTGATAGAAGTCTTCAAGTAAAGGTAGGTGTTCAAAATCATACTTTGAAACTCTTTTTCATTTAATTTTAAGTAATATATGTCGTCATCGTTTTGGCGCATTTGAGTGTACCGAGATCACTATTCATTCTCAATCAACATAAAAGTTAGATATAATCAAAGTAAATAGTTTATGAACTGTTATCCAAAAGCAATTATTCAATACATGCAACAATAATAAATGACAATAATCGTTAAAATCGTATGTGACGCCTATACAGCATCACTAACCTCTCCTTACGATTAGTATTAAAGTTTCGAAGCAACTTGAAATTTCTACTGATGGCTATGATTGGTCGTCCCATTACAGTCTCCTCTTATTTCGACCAACCAGATTCATCGTTGGAGAGTGAGGTGCGCAGCGTGTGGCGTAGTGCATCATTCCTCCTCGAAGCTTCGACTGTTTAGCACGTGTTTGCAACAGGTGAGATTAAATTATTTTTAAATATTAAATTAAATGCTCTTTATAGTGTTAGAAGTACAAGAAACAGGAAGAAAAATCGAAGAGAAGTCTAGATTCTTGATTTTTGATATAAATTCGGCGTTTTCTTCAAAAATACATAGGTTGAAAACTTTTGCTCTTGCCGCGAATTATTTTCCCTTTATATCAATAATTTCTTGAAACTTATTGCATTTTCTCATATTTTCAATACATATTTCTCATAATTTATTGTTATAAATCGTTATAATTGATTTTCCTGTTTTTTTGACTATTCTGCCAAAATGTAGATAAGTACCAAATAAAATAATATTTCCTTCATTTATTCTGCTTTTATATCGATAATTTCTTAAAGTATGTTAGTATCTTGTGTCTTTTTTTAATTTCTGTCCTATATTTTGATGTTTTAAGCTGAGAAAAGTAATCTTGATTTTATTTCAATATGGCGTCGATAATTTTTAACGAACCTTTCCCTTACGATTACTATTAAAGTTTCGAAGCACTTTGAAACTTCTATCAAAGGCAGTGATTGGTCGTCCCATGTTGGCGTCCTCTCATTTCGACCAATCAGACACGTCGTTGTGTGAGCGAGTGCGTCGATTTGTAGCGTAGTGTAGCATTCCTCTTCGAAGCTTCGTTCGTTTCGCACGCTTCTACAACAGGTGAGATTAAATTATCTTCAAATAATAAATTAATTTCTCTTTCGGGTGTTGAAAGTACAAAAAACAGAAAGAATAGCTGGAGAGAAGTCTAGATTCCTGAATTTTTACATCAATTCGAGGTTTTCTTTAATAATGCGTCAGTTGAAATTTGTTGCTCTTGCTGTGAATTCAGAATGCAATTAGAACATCAGAATCTGGATTATTTTCCCTTTATATCAGTAATTTCTTGAACATTATTGCATTTTTTCTTGTTTTTGTTACATTTTTTCCATAATTTATTGTTATAAATCGTTATAATTGATCTCCCCGTGGTTGACTATTCTGTCGATATGAATGTGCATTAAAATATCATTTTCCTCATTTATTTTGCTTTTATATCGATAATTTCTTATGTACCATTGATATCTTATGTTATTTTCTGCTTTATTTTCTATATTTTGGTGTTTTAAGTTGAGAAAATTAATCTTAACTTTATTTCAATATGGCGTCGATAATCTTCAATACTTTTTAGCGGGAAATTCAAATGTATCACTTATTCTAACCAGTGTTTAAGCTTTGATTTAAAATCAACTTTTATGCAATGCATAACACGTATAATAATATAATAGGGATGGAAATTTGATTATTATTAATGATTTAAAAAAAAATTATTAAAGAATTTCTTTTGAGTATGAGTAGTTTTTTTGAAATATTAATTAGTCGAGTACACATGATGTATCATTGAAGCACATGTTTGCAAAAACATGTTCTTTCATTTTACAGAATTATATTTGGATAAGAAATAAAACACTATTAAATGAATCTTTGGCAATGTAAATGCAGTGTTATTGCTTTAACAATTACAGAATTATCGACCAATGTTAATATATCATCTCTCAATATCAACCTACTGAGATCACGAGCAGAGTGTTTCCATCCAACTACCATTCAACATCTGCTTATTAGTTTGGTGAGTAAAAGAATAAAAAACTCTACTTCTTTTTTATAATTAAATATACTTTGATTAGAGTTTGAAATAAATAAAATGCATGTAGTTTTTACATAACAATTACATATGTATATCAGCATTTTTCATTATTATGATTAATAGTATCAGTATTTATGAATAAATATCAATTATTTTATTACACTGTTCAAAATTAGAGTCTCTCATTTAAAATAGAATTATTTTTGAATATTTCATTGTCCTCAATGAATGCAATTTTATTAATATGAAAAAAAATATGGTCCCGGTATAACAGTTTTTTACATAATAATTTGGTTGAAGAATAAAGATACATTATTATTTCTTTGTATTTATATTTTATGGTTATTATATTTATGTGTTTTGCTTAACATAAGCTTTACTTAAATGTAAGGGTAAGTACAGTGTTCATACTTATGTCAGTTTATTTAAGATTAGCTGTGGGCTTCTAATATTTATGATAAGGCACAGATATTTTATATAAATTACAGTAATAGAGGAGGTAGGGGAGATTCATAAATTTAAAAAAATGCAGCATTTTAGGCAAAATAAATAAAATTTCAGTAATTCTGTCTTACACAGCCAAACAAAATCAGAATAATCAGTCATTTGTTCATATCGATTGAGAGCATTTTATAAAATAACATACAGTTTTCTATTGTACATTAAGTAGATAATACAAGAGTATATCAAGCTTTCCTATCCTCCTCTAAATCTGTTATATTTAATACAATAGTATTAATAACATAGTATTAAAAATAAGTTTGATGCCAGAGAAAAACATGGTATAACAATATTATATTTCATTGATTAATTGTAAGGAGAAGCTTTTTCCATTTGCTATTTGTGTACGCAGAATGTTGTTAATTTTGATTTGTTCTATATCTTCCTATAAGATTTGTATCATTTTTAATCAAACATTGGTTTATTTTTCTTGATCTGTGCCTTATCTCCTATTTTTTATGCAGATCTGTTTGCTTCTACTTTCAGTTTTGCAATTATATTGTTATTGAAAGTTTTTATTGGTACTTCAGTCACTGTTACTGAAGTTACTGAATGGATAAATTAAATTTTCATTAATATTATTCAAATACCTGCTTTTTCTTGAACCGTGATTATATCTATGTAGTATTATCAAGCCAATTTATTCTATTGTTTGTCATAGCATTTTCCTGTACAATTTAGTGCAATATCTTATACTTTCCTGCTGTGTGTTACATTTATTTTTTTTGTTACTAATTCTTCTATACTTGATTGAGGTTATCGATTTGCGAGCTAAAATCCCCACCCACTATTATGGGGATTGAATTTTTCTTTATCTTCCATCAGTATTTCCCATAATGTTTTCACTAGCTGGTGAGAATTCTATGCTTTTTTGATTGATTATAATTTTTCTATATAATTTTTGTACATACATTGCACATAAGTGTCAAAATTTATATCTGAAATAATATGTTCTTAAATATTTCTTATCAAAATCACACCATAGGAAAGTGTTATTAAAGCAATATTTCCCTTTATTTATTACATAATTACAATAATATAAAATATAATACAAGATGGGTGTTGCTGAAAAAAGTACATTATTCGATTTCTTCGCTGATATATATTGTATGAACGTTTCCATTACGATTAGCATTACAGTTTCGAAACTTCTACCAATGGCTGTGATTGGTCGCGCCATGTTGGCGTCCTGTCATTTCGACCAATCAGACACGTCCTTGTGTGAGCGAGTGCGTCGATTTGTGACGCAGTACATCATTTCTCTTCGAAACTTCGTCCGTTATGCACGTGTCTGCAACAGGTAAGATTAAATTATCTTCAAACATTAAATAAAATTGTCTTTCGGGTGTTGAAAATACAAAAAAGAGAAAGAATAGCCGAAAAGAAGTCCAGCTCTTTGTTTTTTGACATTAATTCGACATTATCTTCAAAAATACGTGAGGTAAAATTTTTGCTCTTGCCGTGAATTGACAATGAAGTTGGAAGAACATAATCTGAATTATTTTTCCTTTATATCAATAATTTCTTTAACATTATTGCATTTTTTCATGTTTTCAATACATATTTCTCATAATTTACTGTTATAAATCGTGATACTTGATTTTTCCATTTCTGACTATTCTGCCAATATAGATACGAAATAAAATAGTATTTTCTTCATTTATTCTGCTTTTACATCGACAATTTCTTAAATTTCGTTAGAATCTTATGTTCTTTCTACTTTGTTTCCTATATTTTGGCGTTTAAAGTTGAGAAAAGTAATCTTAACTTTATTTCAATATGGCGTCGATAGTTTTTAACGAACCTTTCCCTTACGATTAGTATTAAAGTTTCGAAGTAATACGAAACTTCTACCAATGGCTGTGATTGGTCGCGCCATGTTGGCGTCCTCTCATTTCGACCAATCAAACACGTCCTTGTGTGAGCGAGTGCGTCGATCTGTGACGCAGTGCATCATTTCTCTTCGACACTTCGTCCGTTATGCACGTGTCTGCAGCAGGTAAGATTAAATTATCTTCAAACATTAAATTAAATTGTCTTTCGCGTGTTGCAAGTACAAAAAATAGAAAGAATAGCTGGGGAGAAGTCTAGCTCTTTTTTTTTTGACATTAATTCGACATTATCTTCAAAAATACGAGAGGTAAAATTTTTTCTCTTGCCGTGAATCAACAATGAAGTTGGAAGAGCATAATCTGAATTATTTTCCCTTTATATCAATAATTTCTTTAACATTATTGCATTTTTTCATGTTTTCAATACATATTTCTCATAATTTACTGTTATAAATCGTGATACTTGATGTTTCCATTTCTGACTATTCTGCCAATATAGATACGAAATAAAAAAGTATTTCCTTCATTTATTCTGCTTTTACATCGACAATTTCTTAAATTTCGTTAGAATCTTATGTTCTTTCTACTTTGTTTCCTATATTTTGGCATTTAAAGTTGAGAAAAGTAATCTTGATTTTATTTCAATATGGCGTCGATAGTTTTTAACAAACCTTTCCCTTACGATTAGTATTAAAGTTTCGAAGTAATACGAAACTTCTACCAATGGCTGTGATTGGTCGCGCCATGTTGGCGTCCTGTCATTTCGACCAATCAGACACGTCCTTGTGTGAGCGAGTGCGTCGATTTGTGGCGCAGTGCAGCATTCCTCTTCGAAGCTTCGTTCGCTTTCCACGCGTCTGCAACAGGTAAGATTAAATTATCTTCAAACATCAAATTAAATTGTCTTTCGGGTGTTGAAGGTACAAAAAATAGAAAGAATAGCTGGAGAAAAGTCTAGATTCCTGATTTTTGACATTAATTCGAGGTTATCTTAGAAATACGTGAGTTGACATTTGTTGCTCTTGCTGTGAATTCAGAATGGAATTGGAACATCAAAATCTGAAATATTTTCCCTTTATATCAGTAATTTCTTGAACATGATTGCATTTTTTCATGTTTTTGTTACATTTTTTCCATAATTTATTGTTATAAATCGTTATAATTGATCTCCCCGTGGTTGACTATTCTGCCGATATAAATGTGCATTAAAATATCATTTTCCTCATTTATTCTGCTTTCTTATCGATAATTTCTTAAATCCCGTCAATATCTTACATTTTTCCTACTTTCTTTCTTATATTTTGGTGTTTAAAGTTGAGAAAAGTAATCTTGATTTTATTTCAATATGTCGTCGATAATCTTCGATACTTTATAGCGGGAAATTCAAATGCCTCACTTATTCCAGCCATTGTTCAAGCTTTCGTATTTGTTGATTATCGCATTTTCACAATTCAGAATTAATTTTTATACGGTGATAGACACGATTAATAATATAATAGGCATGCAAATTTGATTAATGTTAAAGAATTAAAAAATATTTATTCAAAAATTTATGTTTTGTGGATATGGACATTTTTTGAAATATTGATTGATTGAATATACCTGATATATACATATGTGTGAAAAAATGTGTTTTCATTTGTTGCAGAAGTACATTCTAATAAACTATCAAAAGCCTGATATAGAACTATTAAACGAATCTTCGTCAAATTAAAAGTAAGTTTTATTATTAAGTAGTTGCAGTAAATTATGGTAAAATTAAAATAGCACAAATGTAATATTATTGTTGTGTATTCTCTTTTGTTGCAGTAGTACATTCTAATAAAACATTAAAAGCCTGATATAGAACTATTAAATGAATCTTGCTCACATTAATGGTAAGTTTTATTATTAAGTAGTTGCAGTAAATTATTATGGTAAATTTAAAATGGCAGAAATGTAATAGTATTGTTGTGTGTTCTCTTTTATTGCAGAAGTACATTCGAATAAAACATGAAAAGTCTGATATAGAACTATTAAATGAATCTTCGTCAAATTAAAGGTAAGTTTTATTATTAAGTAGTTGCAGTAAATTATTATGGTAAATTTAAAATGCCACAAATGTAATATTATTGTTGTGTGTTGTGTTCTCTTTTGTTGCAGAAGTACATTCGAATAAAACATCAAAAGCCTGATATGGAACCATTAAATGAATCTTCGCCAAATTGAAGGTAAGTTTTATTATTAAGTAGTTGCAGTAAATTATTGTGGTAAATTTAAAATGCCACAAATGTAATATTATTGTTCTTTTAATTACCGAATTATCAGCCAGTGCCTGTATGTCAACACCCTACCTACTACACTACTCTACAACATCAGTCTACTTAGGAGACCATCCGCCGGGTGCTTTCTTCCAGCTACTTTTCAATAGTCAGTCACCGGTTGGGTGAGCCCCAAGAGTTACAAATTTTATTCTTATTTTAAGTGAGCATAGTGACCCATGAGTGGATGTATACTCATGGAAATATGTTACATATTCTTCATATCTTTTTTCATTTTTATATTGTTGTATTTCTTAGTTCAGGCTAGGGTCTTCTTGTCTCTTTTTAAAAAATAGTTTGTAGGATAGAAGTCGGATGACCCTCCGATTTCACAAATAAAATACAACTTTTAAAATATTTTTTTAATTAAAAGATACTTAAATTTTGATAATGTATACAAAATTTGTATATTTTATACGCAGTAAATATTACGTACATTTGCTACAATACATTGATTATACTATAATATTTCAATGAATTGTTCATTTTAATATTTATTATATAACAATATTATTTATTATTAACAATATTTATTATATTATTCATTTAAATATGTTTTATGAGCAAGAAGACATTTCGCGACGGTTAGATTCTAACGTCGAAGTAACATTTTCGAATGTGCATTTGATGTAACTTAGACAATTTACTTCGACATGCAATCAACCGAGGATGTATTACATGTATATTAATTATTAAATTGCATTTCCAACAGATACAGATCCATTTAACAGATATTTCAAGTTTTTGCTTAAAGTAGAGTGATTTTTTTTTTACACATTTTTTTTTCTTTAGCTATGATTAAATACAATTTAATTATTTTAATAAAATTACTTTAATAATTATTTAATTCAATTGCAATTTTTTATTTTAATTTTTAATAATCGGAGTCTTGTATTACAAATAGAATCACTTTTTAATGTTTTATTCTTCTAATCAATTTCAATCTCATCAGTTCAAAGAAAACGTAGTTCCAACGTAAGAATGTTTTGCATAATAATTTATTTTCAAATTTAAAATGTTTATTAGCCCGTTAGCTTTACTATGTATTAATCTATCATTTTAGCTTAGGATTTTCAGCTTCACACGGTAGGTGTGTTATTTCTTTGCCCGTATTCATTACTTATTAGCCTGAGCTCATCAACGAACCCAGGTGTGCGTTGTTGGGTAAGGGCGATGGGTACGGTTTTAGAATTAAGGAATATTGCAGCGATTGACAAACGTATTAGCGTATCGTGCACGATGTACGTTTCACATGTGTGTGTGTGTGTTTAAATTAGTGGAATGTACGTCGATTTTATTATTCAACTTAAATAGTTTATATAAATACATACAGAATAAATATGTTACATATCTAATCAATATTTTCCATATTACATACTGTATGTATAATATCATACAATCAAATTACATTGAATGGATACTTGTTTGAGAATATTTCATGTATAAAAATCATAATAATATTTTACAATATATGAAGAAAATATACCATTTGAATACCATATTCTTTTTTTAAATCAATGAAATACTAATTATTACTGTACTTAGTTTTATAAAGAACAGAATGACTCAAAGTCAGCATTTCACATTCCAATAAGAGTTTTATATGACACAATACATTAATATTATATTAATAATAACGCAATATACGCTACGTTGTCAGTCGATTACAGGAAATGGTACGTACATAAAGTATAAATGTGTGTGTTACAAGCTTGGGTGACGGAGGCGTCCCGGGACGTTCTCTCTAGGGTAGGCTTGCACCCAGGTGTTATGTGTGAGTACCGTGGATTGTGTGTGTTGGAATGAATGATTTTTGCTTTTTTAAATATAGGGATAGGCAGGCAGGTAGCTTACTTCTGGTGTGTATGATTTAGATGTAAGTAGGAAGGGCCAGGAAAGCAGACCGATCACATTTCTCTTTCGGGTAGGCTTATAGGTCCGGTGAAAAGTCTGCACCTGGGGTAGTATAATCGGAATCAATTACTTTTTAGTTAATTGATTTTGATTAAATTCTGGTCTATACCTAGTATGTAAGGTCGCCCGCGGCACTAGGCCCGGACGAAAAAGGACTACTTCAATGAAATCTGTTCAAAAATTCCTTTTTTTTTGTTGCATGCTTCGGACAGCTATTCTATTTAATAGTTGGTCGTTGTGTGTGACACTCATTTTCAATATATTTCACATTTTTATGGAATCTTTGAGCTGATTCATTGAGTAGTCGAAGAAAGAAGATCGTCGTGGGACATCGTGGGACATCATCGCACATCACCAAAGGATGTCTTTCCTTCTTTTTATGGAAAGTCATCCTTCAATTCTGATTTAAGTACATATTAATATCTTTTTTACTACTTTTTACAGTCACTATGCTCACTAGATATCTATTGTCAATTTAACATGTTCAGTAATAGCACTTAATTAGAAATTCGTCCATCATAGACTATTTCTTTTCTTATATTATGAAATAACATAAAACAAAGAAATATTACCATAGACTATGCATATTATTATATTATATTATTTTATGGATTTTGTGATAGACTCTGAATTGCAGGTATTTTAAAACATATGATACAAAATATTTTGATAGATATATGTGATTCTAGTAGCAAACATGTTAAATTGCAAATTGTATTACATTTTCTCTACAAATGACGTCATCAAGTATAACTACGTCATTGTGAACTGATATTATATGTTGTTTTTCAATCAAATTAAATTAAATCATTTAAATCAAATTGATTGCTACATTAACAAGTAAAGTCACGCGCTTCTTTTTTTTTTTTTAAATTAATTTTTATAATTTTTTATTAGCTTCCATTTTACTTACATTTTTAAATTATTGCATTCAAGTAAATTTTAACAATGACAAAACAAGATTTACCTACATAGACGAATAATTTTCTACGATAACCCAACCCCGATAATTACTTGTTCATCAATAAAAATAAAATGATATTATCCAAAAACAAGTAAAACTCAATTTATCATATTTTATTGATATTGCACTGTACATTTGTATTGTATCAATTGTGTTGTATTTTTTATCATCTCAAATCACCCCCTGTGGGCGGGGGGATGTAGAATACGCCCATAGTATCCCTGCTTGTCGTAAAAGGCGACTAAAAGGGAGCGTCTGTGCCACCGTTAATAAATTTCAATTTCATATTTTTAATTTTTAATCAAGGCATTCGAGCTGTTTTACGAAAATTTCCAGTAGCGATGCGAACGAATTGAAATCGCGGGTAGGAATGCGACCAAGTACAATAATATTCCACGCTTACCGTGCGTGATGACGGGGATTAGGGAGCCAACGCGTCGTCACGGGAAACTGATAAGGCTCACGCGGTTCATTCGCGAAATTCGGCGACTAACGAATTGAATTCGCGGGTAGGAATGCGTTCGACTACAATGATATTCCACGCATATCGAGCGTGATGACGGGGATTAGGGAGCCAACGCGTCGTCACGAGAAACTGATAAGGCTCACGCGGTTCATTCGCGAAATTCGGCGACTAACGAATTGAATTCGCGGGTAGGAATGCGATCGATTACAATGATATTCCACGCTTACCGAGCGTGACGACGGGGATTAGGGAGCCAACGCGTCGACACGAGAAACAGATAAGGCTCACGCGGTTCATTCGCGAAATTCGGCGACTTACGAATTGAATTCGCGGGTAGGAATGCGTTCGACTACAATGATATTCCACGCATACCGAGCGTGATGACGGGGATTAGGGAGCCAACGCGTCGTCACGAGAAACTGATAAGGCTCACGCGGTTCATTCGCGAAAATCGGCGACTAACGAATTGAATTCGCGGGTAGGAATGCGTTCGACTACAATGATATTCCACGCTTACCGAGCGTGATGACGGGGATTAGGGAGCCAACGCGTCGTCACGAGAAACTGATAAGGCTCACGCGGTTCATTCGCGAAAATCGGCGACTAACGAATTGAATTCGCGGGTAGGAATGCGTTCGACTACAATGATATTCCACGCTTACCGAGCGTGATGACGGGGATTAGGGAGCCAACGCGTCGTCACGAGAAACTGATAAGGCTCACGCGGTTCATTCGCGAAATTCGGCGACTAACGAATTGAATTCGCGGGTAGGAATGCGTTCGACTACAATGATATTCCACGCATACCGAGTGTGATGACGGGGATTAGGGAGCCAACGCGTCGTCACGAGAAACTGATAAGGCTCACGCGGTTCATTCGCGAAATTCGGCGACTAACGAATTGAATTCGCGGGTAGGAATGCGTTCGACTACAATGATATTCCACGCATATCGAGCGTGATGACGGGGATTAGGGAGCCAACGCGTCGTCACGAGAAACTGATAAGGCTCACGCGGTTCATTCGCGAAATTCGGCGACTAACGAATTGAATTCGCGGGTAGGAATGCGTTCGACTACAATGATATTCCACGCATACCGAGCGTGATGACGGGGATTAGGGAGCCATCGCGTCGTCACGAGAAACTGATAAGGCTCACGCGGTTCATTCGCGAAATTCGGCGACTAACGAATTGAATTCGCGGGTAGGAATGCGTTCGACTACAATGATATTCCACGCATACCGAGCGTGATGACGGGGATTAGGGAGCCAACGCGTCGTCACGAGAAACTGATAAGGCTCACGCGGTTCATTCGCGAAAATCGGCGACTAACGAATTGAATTCGCGGGTAGGAATGCGTTCGACTACAATGATATTCCACGCTTACCGAGCGTGATGACGGGGATTAGGGAGCCAACGCGTCGTCACGGGAAACTGATAAGGCTCACGCGGTTCATTCGCGAAATTCGGCGACTAACGAATTGAATTCGCGGGTAGGAATGCGTTCGACTACAATGATATTCCACGCATACCGAGCGTGATGACGGGGATTAGGGAGCCAACGCGTCGTCACGAGAAACTGATAAGGCTCACGCGGTTCATTCGCGAAATTCGGCGACTAACGAATTGAATTCGCGGGTAGGAATGCGATCGATTACAATGATATTCCACGCTTACCGAGCGTGACGACGGGGATTAGGGAGCCAACGCGTCGACACGAGAAACTGATAAGGCTCACGCGGTTCATTCGCGAAATTCGGCGACTAACGAATTGAATTCGCGGGTAGGAATGCGATCGATTACAATGATATTCCACGCTTACCGAGCGTGACGACGGGGATTAGGGAGCCAACGCGTCGACACGAGAAACTGATAAGGCTCACGAGGTTCATTCGCGAAATTCGGCGACTAACGAATTGAATTCGCGGGTAGGAATGCGTTCGACTACAATGATATTCCACGCATACCGAGCGTGATGACGGGGATTAGGGAGCCATCGCGTCGTCACGAGAAACTGATAAGGCTCACGCGGTTCATTCGCGAA